GCCGTTCCGCATGAGAAGATCGTGAATCTGCTTGCCACCTCTGTCGGAGAAGTAAGTGCGCCATCTGCTGGCTTCACTACCAGTTTGAGGCTTGCACAGAGGTATGGGAGTTGGCAGGTCAGACCAACTTCCCCTGCCCTGATAAGATTTCTGTGTTTGCAGATCCTCATGAAGACGATGCCAACATCCATGTTCCGGCTGCTGACAGGGCAAGAGACGCCTGTTTACATCTAGAGTTACCAGCTCCACTCACCACAGTGTGTATCTAGTCAGAGTTGTCACATCTACCCCAGCCTTCTCTCCTTCATGGGGATTTGTTACATTCCAAAGATTGTGTTTCTGTGTGTTGTCAGTCATTATTGGACAGTTGGTTTGCAGAGACATGTGTGGCGATGAAGTGCCTGCCCGTGACACGTCCGGGCGTCTGAACAGAGGGGCATGTCAGGAGCATACATATTGAGCAGTGGCCCCATATCTGTTTTCATTTGCTTAGTGCTGGCAGTGGACACCTTCCTCTGTAGTGGTTCGATTTCTCCTTCTTAAAATACTCTAATTCCAAGTTCAACACAGGGATGGCCAACTTGTGGGCCATGTGTGGCCTGTAGTGATGCCTTTGTTGTCAGTTTGTCTCTTTATCCAGAGTTGCCTTTATTCATGCAGAAGGGGGTGCCACAGACCTCTAGTTGGGTGTGTGGTGAAGTTGGCCATTCCTAGAGATGTGTAGCGTGATATATGCAGCAGTGAGGGGCCACTTGGAGTGTGTATTTATTTATAAGGTATTAGGATAAGATTTCAGACAGGCTCCCAGTGATAAATGGTATTGCTTGCTATCTACACCCCTGTCGTCATTTATTTATTGGACCAGAGACCCTGCGACACATGTAGCTCCCTACACCTGCGACTTGTAAGTGGAGATAATGTACTCTACTATTCTGCTTAGACAACAAAATAAAGTACATGCTATTGGCTTGGAATTGCTCTGTCCTTTGTCCCTGCCATGTTAACTGAAGTCATGTAGCAACCTCCAGTTTCTGTTGTCTCTTTTCTGATTTCCAAAATTTTTATCCTTCATCCTTACATCTCAAGGTTGCAGGCTAATTTTGGAGAAGATTGTGATTTATCATCTGTGTGTCATGTGGCGTCAGATATTGGATACTGCGTGTGAAGGACTGGGATGTCCTATTTTAAGTATTATCATAATTGCTAAATCTGTACTTTGAATAACTCCAAAATGGGATCCAACAAAGTGTTGCCATTCAGAGTTCTGCCTTTATGTTTGGCATTTGAATGATTTAGTGTTCATTCTCAGCTCAGGATCCAGATATCGCGATGAGATTTTTGTGGTATATCCCAGTTCCTCCAGGCACACGTTTTGACTAGCTTAAAACTGCATTACCTTATGCAGATGACAAAAGCAGGAAGACCCTGAGTTAATTACCAACATCCTTGGTGAATTCTGTGATCCATCACACTACCATCATCATTTTGTAGGTACTAAGAGTTCAGAAACTCTTAAAAGAACTTCCACTTCTTAATCAGATTCATGAAATTTAGGTCTGCACAATGAGTATGTATGTCTGTACCTAAAACAAAATTCTTTAACAATTCTTTAATTTATATTTTATGTGTTTGTAATGATAAGCCAGTGTTAATTAATGCATCAATTCTCAGCATGAAGTTGAGTTGCACAAATTAAACTCGTATGCTCTGTGAGATATGCAATGTCTAGTTTACTGATCACCTGTTCAGGGCTGAAGATGGAGACAGTATGCTCCCCAAAATGTTCATAACTACCTATGAGCTTACATGGCATAACACAAGTGGACTGGTGCTAAGGAATGCTCAAGCAATTTCAAAATGATGGTTCTCGCTCAGTTTCTGACATCATCACGGGTGAAAAAGACATGCACCTACCAATGTGATCCTCAAACAAACTCCACGCAGGTGACACTCATCATGAAAGTGCAAAGGCCTAAGACATGTTAGGAATAAGATGGAAGCACATCAAACTGTTGATTCAAGAATGGCAGTTATAAGCATTACAGCACAACCCATGCAGCCTATGAGACTACTTGTTTTTGAAGAGTAAAGGATTTGCATTCAAGATAGTAAATGTTCAAGCCCTGAAGTGCCCCACGTGCATATGAACAGGAGCCTGTGGCAGTACCATTAAATGAGTGGCCGCTGCTTCTACGTTTAGATGAAAAGGATAAGTTCTACTACACTGAGAACATGTAATTGTTAAACTGCAGGTCTCATTGTCAGATTACATGTCCCTACCCACATATGTGAATACTGATGAGGATGGATAGAGCATCACTTTGAGGCACTGTCGGCGTTCGTCTTGCAGCACAAACACACAACTGTCTTGGCTTCCTATGGCTAATTTATTCAAATCATTAAGAACTGTACAACATTGATGAACCAGGCACATTCTGCTACATATAAACAACAGCCGTCGCTCTTCGGCGCACAAACTACAGGTTCATGGAACCGCAAATCAGTAACTGGATAATATACGTGATAACATAAAAACTGTGTTGAGACAGAAGAAGCATATGTGTATATATATGCTCTTTATTTTGTAAATACCTAAACCAATTTGCTGTAATGCAGCCTTTAGGCCAAGTAAAAAACAAAACTTATTGGATGAGTTGTTTTTCATAATGCCAATGCTTAAACAATTCAGTTTGGCAAAAACTTGCTACAGTCATGGAAATACATACAACTCTCATCTTAAGCGATAAGAAAGAAAATCACCAATGGAAAATAGTTTACAAGTAGCCAAGATACTTGACATAACAGTGATTTTATTCACTCCTTAAGAGAATTTTGAAGCCATTTGCAAATGACATAATGTGATGGGACTATGAAACCTTCTTTGTGTAATTTGCAAATGGGCTATACATCTGTTGAAACTCTTCCAGATATCTCCAGAGCCCTGCATGGGTGGGCAGTGACCCAATAGCAATAAACGATGATAAGCTGATTGGAATTCCCTACCTGCAAATTAGCTTTTACCCCCCAAGTTAACGTAACATAATTAAAACATAAATGTGTGTTGTTTCATGACAGTGATATAAATTGGCCCATGCAGGAATCTATTAATCAGTCCAGTTCCACATCAATTGTCCATAGCATATCTTCGGGTCCACTCTTTCGCGTTGCGGATGGCCTCGGCTTCATTTACTTTCCAGAGTTCTGCCACATCGTTTGCCAGCGGATCGTCTGGGTTTGGAGCACTGAGAAGGGCCTGGATTGAAAGAAGCACGGTTCGAATTTGTAGAGCTGGACTCCACTTGTCCTTTAGAATGTCCAAGCAAATACGTCCAAGTCTGTCAATATTAGGATGGTAGATTTTAGTGATGAAACGAACTTTAGGTGCTGACATAGGGTAATCTTCTGGTAGAAACAGTTCCAGCTTGAATAGTCCTCCTTCGAAGGGCGAATCTTCTGGACCGGTGACAATAACGTGGAAATATCGGGCGTTACTATCATCCGGCACGGCACTGATCCCAGGGACTGGTTCTTGCATCAAGCGCTGTGTTTCCTTGATTATTCTCCGAGGTAAAGCTGTCATTTTGAAACACTTCTAAGAAATTCAAACTATAAGTTTCCGAACAAAAATGGTATACGTTAACAAGCCGCACTCCGATTTGTAGACTTTTGGAGGTAGTACAATTTGCAACAAAACGTCACCGATTCGTTTCTGTTTTCAAAGTCCCGTTTCTATTGTACAGATGTCGCATCAATACATTTTGGAGCTGAATTCCTATAATGTCGAGTCCTGTCTTGTTAAGCTTACTTGAACGCGCCCCGTCTTCTCTGACTTGTGAGACCTGTTTATTTTTCGTTGAAGTCTGTTTCTTGGGGTTGGCTCTGTGGTTTTCAGTGATATTTTTGATTCCATGGATTCACCGGTTTTCGCCCGAAATTATCAGTAAGCTGTGGATTGTCTTGATTTGTGTTAAGTGTTAATTTATTTAGTATTATTACTTCCACAAAATTTGTGAATAAAGTAAAATGTCTGATGCTGAAGACGATTTTATGTGTGAAGAGGAGGAGGATTACGGTTTGGTGAGTGATATAAATCACTGTGTGTTAGATTTCGTATTTGTTAGATAAAATGAAATTTACAGCAATATTTAACTTGTTTATGATTATAGGAATATTCGGAAGATAGCAACTCTGAACCAGATGTAGATCTAGAGAATCAGTATTACAACTCCAAAGCTTTGAAGGAAGATGATCCAAAGGCAGCCCTTGCATCCTTCCAGAAAGTGCTTGACTTGGAAGGAGGAGAGAAGGGCGAATGGGGGTTCAAAGCACTGAAACAGATGATAAAAATAAACTTTAAACTGGTTCGTATACAGTTAATACTTTATATTTTGTGGTGTACATCAACAGACAGAGTAGCTTTAAATACTGTAACTATGTATTTACATAATCTCTGGTTTATTTGAGCAGTTACTGTACTTACTTTATACTAACCCCGAACGACTGTTGCAGAGTAATTACCGGGAGATGATGGCACGCTACAAGCAGCTCCTGACATACATTAAGAGCGCGGTAACACGCAACCACAGTGAGAAATCCATCAACTCCATTCTTGACTACATTTCCACATCCAAGAATGTAAGCTGTGTTTTTGAGTGTGAACATTCTCTGATCAAGTGTAGGAAATTGAGGTGTTTGGATCTGTTTCCATCTTCTGATACATAATTGGGCAGAACAAAAATTGTGGTTAGATATTTCTTCTTAAAAGTACATTGTGTATGAAGATTCCTGTCTTCTGGGTTGTTGCGCTGTGTAGTCTGGTTGATGTTAGCCAACGTTTCAGAGGTCATACTGCCTCCGCCATCAGGGCGATGATTGTGTATTTTTTTTAACCCCCACTTTGTCCACAGTGATTCTTAGGCCCAGTAGCTTCGTGTGCAATGTTTGCTGTTAGCAGACAAGAAGTTCCATTATTTTGGAAGTTGTTATGTTGCAGATACTCATGAGGAAGTTAGGAGGAGATTAAATTCTGGAAATGCTTGCTACTTCTCAGTTCAAAATATTTTGTCTTCTCGTCTGATTTCTAAGAACCTGAAAATTAAATCATACAAAACCTGCTTTTTTTTGTATTAGTGCGAAACATGGTCTCTCACTCGGAGGGAGGAACACAGATTGCCTAAGAGGGAAGACGATGGGGCGTGGAGAAAACTGCACGATGATGAGCTTAAAAATCTGTACTCCTCCCCCAGTATTGTCAGGGTGATTAAGTCGAGAAGAATGAGATGGGCGGGACATGTAGCGCGCATGGATGGGACAAGATGTGTGCACCGGGTGTTGATCGGGAAGCCTTAGGGGAAGAGACCGCTGGGGAGACCTAGACGTAGATGGGAGGATAATCTCAGGCGGGATCCGTGGGAGATAGGAGTTGAAGGAGACTGGATTTTGTTGGCCCAGGACAGGGACCGGTGGAGGGCTTTGGTTAATTCTGTGATGAACCTTCGGGTTCGGTAAGCCATCTAGTTAGTTAGTTAGTTATGTTGCAGATGGAGTTGCTGCAAGACTTTTACGAAACTACACTAGAAGCTCTTAAAGATGCGAAGAATGACCGACTTTGGTTCAAGACAAACACAAAGCTTGGAAAACTGTACTTTGACCGCTCAGACTTCAACAAACTGGCCAAGATTCTCAAGCAGCTCCACCAGTCATGTCAAGTGAGTAACTGGTTCTTGATAACGGGTGAACACCTTCATCTTTTCTGATATTATAAGATGTTGAGGCATATACTTGTTGGTTGACCCAAAATTAGCGAAGCATGAATGGGTGGTAGGTTAGAATAGCTTATGTTAGTACCTAGCATCTAGCACCTGTAAATAAATCGTTTGTCAGTTTTGAGGTTCCCATGGTAATGAAGATGGTAATGTTGTTCTCGGTTTTGATGCTGTGTGGTCTGCTGTTTCAACCTTGAAGATGGAAATTATGTTTGTCTGAAATGTTAGTTTATACTTATGAGTCTGTATGGTGTCACAACTCAGAAGAATCAGATACTGTTCAGTGTATTATTTATTTATTTGTTTGTAGTTCGTTAAGTAATGCCATCAGTAGCTCGGTAGCGTTGATGTTCCATTGCCGTAGCCTGGAGAAAACCATGCCGTTAGAATTAAAATAGAAGGGGTGGGAGAGGCAGCAGACAAGGAAGCACATTATATCCGTAGTATAAACTTTATTTCCCAGCAGCTATTCTTTCATGGTCGCTGTCTCAGTTAATGTTTTTGGTTTATATAGTATATGCATTTGTTTTTGTTCTACCTGGAAGCTAGTGGTACTGACAAGATGTATGGTTTTATCCCAAGTGTTGTATGTGTTGGGAAGACTGCTGCTTTCAATCTGCCCCATCTCTCGTGTTGCAGACGGATGAAGGTGAGGATGACTTGAAGAAGGGCACCCAACTTTTGGAAATCTATGCCCTTGAGATACAGATGTATACAGCGCAGAAAAATAACAAGAAGTTGAAGACCTTGTACGAGCAGTCGTTACACATTAAGTCTGCTATCCCGCACCCTCTCATCATGGGCGTCATCCGAGGTGAGCGTTCACATTCATTTTCTTAAACACTGGCTGCATCGAACTCGTCGATGTAAAGATAATATTCTGGACTTCAAATTCCAGCTGAGCTGTTTCAAGGTCTTCTTTGTCTGTCCAACGCAAATTCAGGGATTCAGGTTTTAGCACCTTCCATCCAAATTAGTACTTCCCTAACATTCACAGCTGTTTTTTCGTGCCATTCATCGTTATGTTTCCTCTGAAACTGAATAATAAGTCACCAAAGAATTGTATAATCTTTGATGAACACAATTAATTTCCTGTTTTTCTTCTTCTTCTTCAAATGAAATGTTGAAACCAGGCATTTTCTTGTTGAACATGCCTGATATCTAGTGGTAGAAAAAGGAATTTTATTAGTGACTTATTTCTGTTGTCATATGAGATAATAATTGTGCGGGCAGGTGTTCGGCTTTGTCATGAAATTTCTCAGTGCTCAGTTTCTAGTTTTGAAAATAATTGTTTGCCGTCTGCAGTGACAGTGCACTTTTCACCGTGCATGGTGTACACAGGGATGGCCCTCTGTACTTTGCTGTCACTGATGCAGACTTTTGCTATGTTGAGATATGAATCCTATAAGAAAATTCTTGAGGAAATCGTGCAAGATTATTCAGCATTGTCCTTATATTCAAGATGCAATTTACAGTGTTCTTTGGTGGAATGGCAAAAGAGTTGAGTTTAGAGATTTGAACAAGATGATGACATGCGGAAACTCGTCCGTTGTTTTTTCTGGATACGTCAGCAGCCTGTTTACATGATGGAAAATAAAATTATACTTGTCTTGGAATTTATTTTGTGTTCCTTGTACTGATTCATTAGGAAAGGAAGTCACTAAACGGTGAAGTCTGATTATTTTAAATATCTCAGTTGTGTGAGCATTAAGATGACATTGAAGGAAGAATTAGTCATCATCTTTGGCACTGCTGAATTTTGCAGAGTGTGGTGGGAAGATGCATCTCCGGGAGGGGGAGTTTGAGAAGGCTCACACTGACTTCTTTGAGGCTTTCAAGAACTATGATGAGTCGGGCAGTCCGCGCCGTACAACCTGCTTGAAGTACCTTGTGCTGGCAAACATGTGAGTATTCTTGTGGTCTCAATAAAGGTCATGACATCTGAGTTGGGATTGTTTTAAAGAATAATGGAAATATGTATCACATGTAAGGAGGGCTCCAGAGACATGCTTGTTCACTCGCCATATGAGGGATAAATGCAGACCTTTGATGAGAAATTTTTAGTTGTCTGGAATAAAAACGTAGTAATGAAATTATTTTAGAATGTTCATTTCCCAATGCTAAGCTCAAAGTAGTGAAGAACACTTAAATTCTATGCTGTTGACCACTTTATGACTTCAGATTGTGTAAACTACAGTGTTACCACTTGTTAGGTGCAGACAGAAAATTGAAGAATGTTCTGCTTTTGTTCCGTGACAGTAACGTTTGGAGTCGAGTTTCTGTAATCTCTAGTAAAATTGCTTGCATGAAGCATTGAACTGTCTCAGTAAGAGGACTCATTGATTGGTCCTTCATTTCATAGTAAAGAATCTTTGAGTTCCGTTAAGACAGAGAATTTCTTCACCGTCTCAAACGTCTCACTGAAGTTGTCAGAGTAGTAGGTGTGCCTGTGTGACTTTCTTCCTTTTAGGCTTATGAAGTCTGGCATCAACCCTTTTGACTCACAGGAAGCAAAACCTTACAAGAATGATCCCGAGATTCTGGCTATGACGAACCTCGTCTCCTCCTACCAGAACAACGACATCAACGAGTTCGAGACTATTCTGAAGCAGAATCGTCGTAACATCATGGATGACCCTTTCATACGGGAACATATTGAAGGTGTGCATGCGTTTGCATCAATGATAAATTTATTAGGTTACTTCATTCATCTGTACTAATTTTCAAGTTCATAGCAGAGTCATATAACGTACCGACACAAACAGCAGAGCACAGGCAAGTGAAGACAGCTCAGAATGTGCAGCATGGTACTTGTGACTTAGTGTCATGTCAGTGGGTTTGAAGTCCTTCTGTGGTGTTGAGTTGTGCACTTTGGCATAGTTGCACCTTGTTCCTTTTTGTGTCGGTATGTTCTGTCTTTTCCGGGTCTCCCTCTAGATTATCTTGCTTCCTGTTTTTCCTGCCATGTTTTTTTTAGTGTGTCGTAAATTTTCAGTTGTGTGCAGTATATTCTAAACTCTTATGCAGTAAACACATTTGGTCAACCTACTGCTGTCTGAAAGTGATATCTCTGTTGTGGCAGACCTCCTTCGTAACATCCGCACGCAGGTGCTTATCAAGTTGATCACCCCTTACACGAGGATACACATCCCGTTCATCTCAAAGGAGCTGAACATAGACGCCTGTGAAGTGGAGAGTCTCCTTGTTTCCTGCATTCTGGACAGGTAGGTGGCGGGTGCCACGTGTAAAGGGAACAGCGCTTTTTAAATAAAAATTTATTTCATTTCATAATGCAGCCTATTTGATTGGTGTAAAATCTGCTCAAGGAAAACCATGTTCTTGTTCGGCTGGTTTTGAGATGTTTGTAGTGCGAGTATTTATCATATGTGGTCATATTACAACACGATTGTACATAGAAATTCTTGTGGAAGAAGTGGATGTATTTACTGCATAGCATCACATAATGAACCAACAGCACCATCTTAAGTAGTTGGGAGATGTACAGCTGTCAGGAAGTAACCCACTTTTATACATTTTGACCTTGTAATTAGTGGTTCTGCATTAGATTTCCGTAACATGTATTATTTTTTGCAGTACAATACGCGGCCGTATCGACCAGGTGAATCAGGTTCTAGAATTGGACAAACAGTCGGTGTGTGCGGCTCGTTACAATGCCTTGGACAAGTGGACAAGTCAGCTGGCAACACTACACCTTGCTGTTGTCAACAAGATGGCATGAATTTTATAATCTCCCCATCAAAGTTATGTATCTATGATTTGTTATGATATTTATGAACTGTAAAATAAAATTTCTGTATGCGCAGTTTAATCGTAATTGAGGTGATTTATCGGTCATAATCCTTCTGCGGAAGAATCGTACATGACCTGTAATACGCGGACACAGCCGCCGTGTACTGTTTCTGCAATTATAATTTTAACACAGTAGAGTTTAATAAAAGATTTTTTTATTACAACACAGTACTTGAAATTGGAAATGTTTCATAATTTGAATGCAAATTTTGTGCTTATATTAACCTTAAAGTTAAGGAATTCACACCTTGTATGTGGGGTGTCTTTACTCCTTCTGCCAGGTAGGTTGAACTGGGAGGAACGGATTGACAGAGTGAGATTTCAGGTTCTTGCAGCAGTGAATTTGAAGATGGCTGTCTTCTGGGCTGTTGTGCCATGGACTGTGATAGATATTCACTGATGAGCTATCATTGCCTTGATGATGGAGGCAGCAAGCACCCCTGAGATGTCAGTAAACCTATATCACATTACTTGATGCAACAACCCAGAGAAGTCTTCTTCAAAAGATATGCAATGTATGAGATTAAAAAAGCTACATGTCTTATGATAAGAACAGTAATGGGCCTCTGTTTACATTTTCTGTTTTGGCGCACCTGCTGTTTCATGGTGCCTGGTCACTCTTTACCGTTACTGTGCTAGTACCAAGGTACTGCTTGATGTTCTGTCCCCAGTAATCTCTTCACTGTGATGTAGTTTCAAGTGTCCAACCACAGTGGCTTGTCATAACATCAGTTGCTCTGTTCGCCATCTTACATTTCTGGAGTCCTTAACAAAAGTTGCATGTTTTTCAGAGCTCCATCATACAAAGCTTCAGGACCGTACATTAAAGCACCCTAGTTTTCTCACACGTCGAAAGTCCGCATGGCTGTATTGTTGGTATCATTGAAGATAAGGATAAAAGGTATGGTGTTTGGTTGACTTTCAGTTGCATTCTACGGGGTGTCATGAAAATTGGAAACTTACACAAAAAGTTAGTGGCTGTCGTATTTCAAGGTGTAGAGTGTGAGACGGGCGCTTTGTTTATATGACAGTCTGCTGTATGCAGTTTCCACGTGTAGGTGTAAGTTGGAACTTGTTCAGAGTTTTCTTCTTTGTGTAGAGGTAACAGTACACCTGCTGCAGTAGGGATCAGCCAGTTTTGACAAGTGTTGGAGTGAAAGGGTTAACAAATTACTGTGACTTTCACTTGTCGCTTCCTGTTTGTCTTTAAATTATGCAGTGGTGTGCTGTTAGTTCCTGCATCAAAACAATGGAGTGTAAAGTAATATTGGTAATGGTGCATGGTTAAATACTTCTTTGGTTGGTCCTGTACTGATTTTTCTCTAACATATCATAGATGAAAATGAGCCAACGGTAACTTTCCTGAAGCACCAGATAAGTCTGATTATTTAAGTACTGGGGATGTGACACGATTAAATCTGGAAAATACTTGCTACCATAAAAGTTCAGAATATTCTGCCTTCATCCTCAACATTTAAAATGTGAAATTTGTAGAACTATTGTTTTACCACTTGGTTTGAGTTTAATACGTTATCTTGCTCAGAGGGAATAACAGAAATCTTCGGGAAATTCTCATCTCAGGCTGTAGAACTTCTTCCCATACATGCCTAGATGGAACAGGGTCCTTGAGAAGCTGTGGTCGCTGATCTCATCAAGAAATACTTCACCTTTAGTGGAATCGGAAGGTTCATTACCATATCCGTGAGACCCCACCAACAGTCTATGTGCTGAGAGATGAATCCTGTCATCCACACCCTAATTCTTAACATTTATTTCAATATCATCCTAAAGAGTGCCTGTACAATATGGATATTTCATGTTTCAATTATTACTGAAAATATTACAAATTATTCTTGAATATGCATGAGAATTTTACTTGAGAGATCAATTCTAGGGACAGAACTGTAGCTCATCATGGCAACAATCCCTCAGTACAGAAAGAGGACATTTGTATCGAGAAGCTAAATCTTCCAGTACCCGTGCCAGTGTTCTTATACATAATTATATACTATTACAGTAGCGTACCATCCCATAATTTAAACAGAGTGAAGTGTTATACTTTGTAGATAAAAACGAGATAATAGTGAGTAAATAAGATGATTTATTTGTGTTCACATGTGTATCAGAAATACAACTCATAATGTGTTATAAACAATACACTTGTAGGTACACTCATGAACTGCAGCGCAGCAGTTTAAGGTGTTCATACAAAACACTTGTGTTTCTGCAGATATTCCAGTCTGTAGAGTGTGTCTACATTATTTAATTGTATAAGGAATATTATTTCCAGTTTACACTCATGCCAGCTTGTGAAATAATGAAAAGATTTTGGTGCCTACACACATCCACATCTGTAAAACAATAATTGAGTCTACAATCATATCAACAGATTAAATTATATATCTCACTGACACTTCACTTACAAGTGTAGCATGTTGAGGCCTTATCACTTTCTGATAGCAAACGTCCATTGACCACATGAAATAAGTTAATGTTAATACTGTATGCACATTGTGACACAGTGATCGAATGACCTCAGAATCACACACCTCAGGGACTCAGTTTGAGACCTTAATTCTTGCTAGGTCTGTCATCAAAGCATCTTGAGATCCCCCACTAGACCAACTTGCTGATCGGTTATTTATTAACACTTCATCATCTACGTTTGTAACAATTCATTGTTATAGGCATCCCCACGTTTGTGTTCTACTGGGAAAGATACATTTAGCAATCCTGAAACCAAATTCAAGGTGTTAAAGTCACTACAGCCGATTATCTCCGACTTGCATTGCCACTGGTTCCTCCCCCACAGCACCTTCTGGACCATTGTCCCCAGCACCTTCCTCTGGGTTCATTTCTGCAAAACACAAGTGAGTTTCATATCTGGGTACAATATGTTCCATGGGGAAGTCTGTAGTTGTTGCCATTATGGCAGAAACATGTCGTGAAACAGCGTTAGTTGTCTGTACTAACCATCGCCCCTCTCCCCTGCATTGTTTTCTTCATTCTCTGCTTTCTCCTGTTCTTGTCCTCCACCTCTCTCATGATCTCCGCCCTCCGCCACGCCAGTGTCGGCAGGCTTCAGAGGCTGGTCTGCAGCAGCACAGAACAAGTGTTTTAAAGGTTTGCAGCTGTAAACATGTGTTCCAATGTCAAATACATTGGCCACTAAATTTGCCACCACAGACACCTGAATCAATTCAGTTCTCATACAATGACCCACTTCTCCAAGATGTATATTAATATTAGCCTAACATTAATATTAACATTCTTAACCCAAAGATTCAACATCACTCAGACAGTAGCTTCCCACTGGGCGCACACCTGAGCACGTTCCATCCACCTCCCACTCTCACAATCTATTTCCATAAAATCCATCTTCCCATCTACACTTACATCTTCCAAATTGTCTCTTTCATTAAGTTCTCCCACCAAAATTTTGTATGTATTTCCTGTTTTTCCCATGTGTGTTACTTGTCCTGGGCATCTCATCCTTCTTCATTTGATCACCCCGACACTACAAGGAACAGAGTATAAACTGCAAAGCTCACTGATCTGTATTTCTTGTATTCCGTGTTTCATGTCAGGTCCAGGCACTCTGCCCAGTACTACACCCCCAATCTGTGCTCTTCCCTGACTGACCATCTAGTGACACCAGAAAGTGATGTATCACTCCACATGAGAGGACTAGAATGAGGTCCGCTTCTTACTTTTTCCTAGAAAAGAGGCACTGAACACTGTGACGCACGGCATTCTGAAGACAGGCATCACCATCGGCTTTCACACTTTACTTCTATCAAATGTTTTGGTGAATAGTGTGTTTACTATTCATGTCTGCCAAAACATCAGCTACAATTAAACAAAGAAGAGTCAATATTGTGTACGTGTAGTATTGGTCAGATGGATAAACAAAATGGAGTGGAATTATTATAAAATGGCGTACTGTGTTCTGGAGTACACGTTTTCCAAGTGTATTATTTGTGGTTCTGCATACCTCATTGGCCTTGATGCACGTTCAAACTTGTCACTAAGCACACTGCATAGATTCATGCATAATTTTTCCTTGAGTTTTGTTAAATTTTTGCCTTATCAAAAAATATTTCAGATAAAAAGTCTTTTATCATCACGACAATGGTATTGTGTTTTTTTTGTAACAAATTTTTTAAAAGTTTGACTTCAGTTTCATGTAAAGTAGTTGTATTGCAGCAGTGTGGACCAAAATTAACAAAAATTTGGGAACCACTGCCCCAACCATTACTACTAGATTTCTTCAATTTAATCTTGTGGAATGGTGAGCAGTAGACCATGAAGTTTTGTAGTTGACTGCTGCATGCCTCAAAAATGAGTACACTGAACCATGTTACAAACCCCAGAAGCTGAGAAGATGCTGGATACATATTACAATTTAAATTATTTCATACACCATGCATAATTTTTATTTGTGAATGTTCCGTTTCAGTGATGACACTATCTCTGCTGGTAATTATTTTATATGTAATGTACTATTTTTTAAAGGATGTAGCAAAGTCCATTTAATGTTCAGCTGATCTATAAGTCAGGAAAGGAGAGGGTCGGCTTGACATGTTGTCATTGTGTGTCTGCAGTATAATCATTTTGTTCTTCCATCTCATCAGTGTGTATAATCTTGTATGTGATGCTTTCTTTTTCACGTGCCACATCAAAGTACACCCAGCAATTAGAGGAGTGTGCAACATGACAAAATTGTGCTGGGAGAGAGAGAACAACAGAAGATGGATACCAACCATGCTGATGTCTGTCAGGCACATGTTGGTGGTACTGAGAACGTGATACTACCTGTGGGGTAGTGTCAGAGTTTGGTCACGCTGAATCGTGGCGAGGGGCGGACTGCTTCGGGAGGGTCCTGGGGCAGGATTGGCAACCCCCCATGATGCACAATCCCACTGAGCCCTGGCACCGTCACGCGCAATTTCGTCACCTCGCGCAACTCCCCGGCCCTCAGACGGGCTACAACAGACCAGCAGTGACACTTATGAACCCCGCCACATGACAAGGTGAATGAATGTATTTCACGCAGCACAGGATACTAATGAGCCAACATTCTTAGACATAGGGCGTGTTAGAGCCGAGTGGTTTGCACTCATGCTTCATATTCAGAAGGTCTCTGATTGAAATCTTTTGTTCAGAGACCAGCTATGCCAGTTGAGATTTTTCTGCTTTTTTCCCCCATCTCTCCATGCACTGATATTTATTTATTTTCAAGTTTATGTCTCCCCCCCCATCAAGGCTAATGAGTGTGCAGAACTGCTAAGAACGCAATATGCTGGAAAGTGTTTGGTATATGTTACCTGTAATGTCATTAGAAAAGTGGAACTTTGCTGATAGACCAGTTCAGATGAAAAACTTCCTTTTCCAGAACTGTCAGTTTGTTTTGTTTCCTGTTACAGATGTATGTGACTTACTGTTATGTGCAGAGAAAGTAAAACTTTCTTCAAGCAAGTGTTATGAGCAGTCTACAGTATAAAGAAAATTTCCTGCCTCTTAACTTTCTGGTAGTACAACCTGAAAGTTAAACACTGCTACTACCTACCAACACACATAAGTGCGCATGATCCTGAGCCTGTCAGATCCACCATTTCAGTAGGGTCCGTTTTAATATTACCCTCTCATCTTCTGAGAAGAATTTTCTGTCATCTGAGCCCATCATAACCCTCCTCAGTTTTGCTGCCAGGTAAAAAAAGCATAAATTGTGACTCTCCATGTTGTGTAATTTCCTCCATTCCTCACTCATTCATCCCTTTTACCTCAACTTTCAGTTTTCAATTTTATAAACCTGTCTTGTTCATGGTCATTGATTCCTTTCAACCTGTAAGATGCTGGTGCTGCACAGATCATTTGATATGTCATGGTGCAAACGCTTAGTTTTGGACTGACGTCTGCTAACACAACTCGACTATTGTTTCTTGCCACTGTTACCTGTGGGCAGCCTTTTCGGAGTGGACGGCTGCTTATTCTTGGACGCTGTTTTGAGAGCTGCTTGAACCTGTACAAGCAATACAAATGGCTTAGGAATGCAAACATGTAAATAACACCATTTTGATGATAAATCAAGGATGACATGGTGGATGGAACATGAAGCATATCTGTAGGAGAGGATAAAGTCGTACAAAACTAGACTGAACGCCTGAAAAGAAGAACGCGCTTGGGGTACCAAGGCATAGATAGGGAAATGAAAATTAAAATAGGTCTTAATGAAACAGTGTGTGGACTGGATTCATCTGGCTGAAGACAGGAAGCAGTGACAAACTCTTGTGAACACTATCAGCAAGGACTACCGAAGACGTGCCCAATTCTATTGATACGGAATTGGGAGAGGATGAAGAAAACAGTCTAGGAAGCAATGACAGTTCTACGTGAAGATGAGAGTGAACTTTTCAATACATTTTGTAAAACTGGTAAACTAAAAATTCCAAAAAGTTAAATGCAACAACAATTTACTAGATTTACCAACTACTAAATAAATGTTCAGCGTATAAATGTAAAAAGTGAAGCTGCCTATGCACTTGAGCATAATTCATGGAGGGATATAGAAGTTATAGGCATAAATCTCCATGCATTGTTTCAACATTAGAATTAGGAATCAGCTTCACCCAGGATGCTGGGCACCAGACAGATGGTATAGATGTGGTGACAGGCATCGTGCCACTGCCAGCAACCGAACCCCACTCATCCAAGACGAAGCCTTAATTTTGCTGATAGAGCTATTACTTTCTTGCATGTTCATCAGCTCAACATTTCAAAACTCTAGTAAAATACTGTGGGGCATCGAAGATGACACGCGTGTCTTGATTATCTGACCTCTTTCAGTTTTCCCTGCATCTGCTGCAGCTCCTGTTTTATTTCATCCAACTGGGACGTTAACTGGGTCTTCTCAAGCCTCAATGAAGTGATTGTTCCATCCTTAGAGATCTCAAGTTTCTTAAGAGACTCCTGCAAAAAAGGCACACACTTGTCGGTGGGGTCAGATACATGGACACGATACTCGCTTTTCCAGCGCCACCTGACCAGTGGATACTGAGTGAATTAGAGGTTGGAATTTTCAGAAATGCCTTTTACTCACTATCCGCATTTTGTTTGTTATGCCACAATTCTGTATTAAATGCTAAGTTTATGTTTCAACGCCCTACTACCACCCTCCGTTTCCTAACCTATACAAATATGTAACTTTGAACATACCAGTTCTGTTTTGCATAAATTAGCAGATTTGTGGTCATTGTCCTGTTGCTTCTTCATATCTTTTAACTCATTGTCCTTGGTGTCCAGGGTCTTCTTCATTTCGTCGTTATCTGTCCGTTGCTGTTCGAAATTGACTCTCACTTGAGCCATTTCGTCCTCCAAGACTTTCACCCGTCCCTCCACTGACAGTCGCTGATGGACACATAGATCCTGTTCTTCGGAACTACCAGAAATTAATTATATTAATGCGATTCTAACTTTAAAACATTTGAACTACAGTAATTCGTATGAAGTCTCACCTTATTTTCAACTGTTCGCCCAACTCTTCTATCTGTCTGATCAAATCGTAATTTTGAGAAGACAAGGACCACCAATTAAAGGTTAAAATAATACAGACGACCAATAACCCCGCAACGAGGAATGGTGGACAACGTCCATAACTGCCCCTCATGTTGTCTAAAGACATTTCTAAATTTCGGGACCTGAGTTTTCCTAGCAGACAAGGTGACACGCAGCAAAACAAACGATCCAGGTCCAATAAGATGTCACTTGTGTCGACCAATCACAGTAACTTATGCAGAAGGTTCGAAATGCCACGTGATTCGTTCCTGCCAGATTCTAATTGGGGTGGGGAGTTTAATTACTGACGGTATTCAAGTAGTGATGTGTGTAGCGTTGTCATGCTGTTATTATAAGATAAAATGCAGTTCGTATGTTTCTTGAGCTAGTTTTAAGAATGAATGAGAATTTGAGCCTCTATTCGTTGTTGCGATATTCTGTTTCTTGGTAAGTGTTTTCTCGTTTTACTCTGTTACCATACACGCGTCCACATTCTAATAGTAATGGCGCAGATTTTCAAACGTTGCTGAGAAATCTTACCACCACACGTTTGCTTTTTACCGCTTTAACGATTTAATTTTGGGGAGAGGATAATTTGCATTTCATGAACAAATACAGAGTATACCTTATCTTTAGAACTGTGGATTCCTGTACAGTTACTGCAGACATATAGGTTTATGATTTTAATACAGCAGCAATTATATTATTGATAATCAAGTTTACAAGCTTTACTTAATAACGTTGTATATGAATTGACTGAAAAGCACTGAGGTCAGACAGGTTCATTAACTCCATGGAGCAAAGTTCCTCTTGTGGAGTTGGTTTGATTAGTTAAATTCTGTTTGGTCTGTGGTACCCACTAAATGTTTGTTGCTGTATTACTGGATCTCACTAGTAGACTCCTACCTGAACAAGCTGAATCTAATCCATACCCAGTTTTTATATTGTCCATTTAAGTGGTATCTTCTGTTTAGATTTTTGAAATAAGTTGTATGCAGTTATTATTGTTATTTCTTGTCTCTCAGTTTTGACTGTTCTACCTAGAATTTTGTTTTCAATCAGCTTCAGTGCACGTTATTTCCTTAATGAGAGAAACCAAGTTTCATAGCTACTTTACGCAATCAGTTAAATTACAGTTTGTATCGATGTGGCTCATCCCCAAAAGCCAAAGTTGATGGTAAGCATTTCCAAAATGTTCTATTCTCTTTCACTTTATTATGAGTGCAGTTTTTATTTGCCACATTTTCAAACAGTTTATTAGCCGGTATGGCTGTCTTCTGCACTGTGTAGTCTGTTAAAAGCCTGCCAACATTTCAGAGGCCATTGCTGCCTCCATCATCAGGGTGATGTGTTGCTCATTATCTGTCTCATTAAGATGAACTGTATAATGAATAAAAGGGATAAAGCAATGGTGCAGGTTCATATGATAATACAAATACTAACAGCTATAGAAATTTTATTAATATTAATTTATGTATACTTTCTAAAATATATGGTAATTAATCTCTCTATACATCAAGCTGTAATGGAAGTTATACCAACCTTCCAGCAAAACAGTTTTGGCTCTTAACCTTGTGAAATACACTCATTGCAGAGATATTACAAGTTCTGGCTTCAGTCTGTAAGGAAGGCAGATGTAACTCGATTCATAACATCATACTCCAATGTTAGATAAATACAGTGTTGCCCACTTTTCTCACTGCCTGGTGAGGAACCATACTGCAAGATGTAGAGAAATGTTTCTAGCACTTGATACATATAATCGGTTAATGGTTAACAGGCGTCTTATTTTGTGTTGTTGTCTTTTTTACCAGCAGTGCCCTATGAAGTCCCTCTTCAACTGCATAATTTAGAGAAAAAAACTTCAGGTCTGACCTTATGACCTTATAGTGGACAGAATTGCGGTTAGATCATATGGTTTACTTTTAGTAGGTCTCAGATTTGAATCTTGGTCCACGCACTAGCTATCCTAACTTACTTTTTGTGACTTTCCTCAGTACATCCAGGTAAAAACAATAATTTATCCTAAAATAAGCTGCGACTACATTCACCATGGTCTGGAATTATTAATTTATAATCGTCCTTGGCTTGGGCCTGTGAAGTTCTGTGGAATGTAAATAAATACTAATCTATTTTATTCTAATGGCCCTGCTCTTGGGCAGTATATGAACTGTGCCGTTTACAGGTGTTGCTGTATAGCCAAGACACAAGCGGATGAGAGAGATGAGACGAGATTGTAGGCAAGTGGACTTTGTTGAAGTGGCTGGTTGATTTCCTTTGTATATGCCAGAGGACAGGAATTCAAATCCCAAACTCAGAACGCTGGCTCTGTTGTTAATATCATTTATGTTTCTCCTGCAGAAACTTCGTCACTCAACACTCTTCTCATCTAGCCACGGGCGAAATATGGGCAATGTTGATGGATAGTGCGTGCCCTGCTTGCGGTGCAAGGTGCCATCTGGTGAGCGCAGGGGGTAAGTAGCGAGCATAATTGGAAGCTGTAGTTTAATCTCTTTCTCGAAGCTCTTTGGATCAATGATGAACTGTAACAGCAAAATTGAGCCCAGTTGAACTCTTGTTACAGCAACAGGACCAGTGATGGAATTATTAACAGGTTTGGCAGTGTTGGGCTACTTTATTAATTTCATTAAGGCACTTGCCTCGTCTTAATGTGTAGCTAACTCCCTGCAGTGAATCCTTTAATGAGAAGTTAATAGTCCATCAAGTTACATTATAATATTATCCTCCCAACTGTGCCTAGGTCTTCCAAGTGATCTTTTTGTTTTAAGTTTGTGTCCAAAATTTTGAGGTTTAAGGTTCTCTTGGCAGTTTCAATTTTGATAGTGGTGTTCTGGGTTGTTACGCTGTGGTCTTGTAGGTAGGTCCTAGTGTTTTGGAGGAACATACAATCTCTATCCACATGGTAAAAGATGCAGGTGATTCGTTCCTCCAAAATGTTGGTAACCACCTTTGCGACCACAAGCCAGAAGATGACAGTCCTCTGTCTGATTATTGTTTATAATTTATACGTTAATGCAAAAACCAAAATTATTTACGCATTTGTTCCTTAGATGAATGAATAATCTGTACTGTTGGTGAAAAGTTATTAGCAGTGCAAGTAAAGCTACGGAGATGAAATGAATAGGACATTAACATGCTAGAAGAAACAACAAATGCATAAAAATTTTTGACTGGAACAGAATATGGAAAGAGAACAGATGAGAAATTAAGAATAAACTGGAGGATAACATTGATATGTGTCTTGGTGGATGCGAAATAGATTAATCTGGTAGTGAATGGTGCCATAGTTCTGTGCTGGTGCTGATTGACCTGTGGTTCCATGTACCAACAAGGAATTTTGTGACCAGCTGAATATGTGTCATGTGTTTAAACAAGACCCCATACCATGAAAACCTAACCTCACTGCTCATTAACCTCTCACTGTTGCTATGTGATGGGACAGTTAAAAGAAGTTGCATGTTGTTGTTTGATGTAACGAAGTGTGCCAGTCTAAGATTCAGCAAGTCCTCACTGCACCACAGTAACTCTGTTTGAGTTTTCTCGGACTCACATAGACGTCGTACTGAACCTTGATGAGGTGGCAGCCCCGCAGGTTTGTAGGCGGGAGGGGCGGAACATATAACTGCTCATTTTTCCATTCGTCACTGTCTCCAGGTCGTATCTTGCCCCGATTCAGTGACGCTAGCTCCCTTGTCTCAGTTTGTAGGACTTTATTGCGGGCCATATATTGTATCGTCTGTAACAAACAGGTCGGTATAGTAGTGGGTAATAAAGGTACAGCCAAATTCTGCTGTAGGATCTTCACTTGCCTCATTCTTTCTTATTCACTACTGCTTATCATTTCCTGGTCTTTTGTGATACTTCGTTAACATCTGCAATTGTGTAACAGCATCGTTAAATCTGATTCAAGTAACGTAAGAATTGTGAAGCTGTGTTGTAATAACTTTATTTCATGCTGGTGACTCGATTCACACTATTCAGTTACCTCTGTGAGAGAAATCTTTCTTTGGTTGATAGTGATTCTACCTGACACCGCTAATTGTATAATAGTTCTTACCTCAGTGAGAGAAGCCTTTGTCCCCTTGATGGTGACTCGACTCTTGTTGTAGACCGTGGCAGAGATGCCGATTGTTTCTCCAGGCACATAGCCACCCCGGTCGAGGGCCACGCGACATACCACTGGGCCAGAGTTGACACAACTTACTCCCAGCTTGTGTTCAATCTCACACCGAAATGGTTGCTGCCAGTGTGACAAACAGAACATCGGTGATTGTCTTATGGATGAGAATCAGACGGAGCTGTAACTGGTGCAAGGACAGAAGGGAGCGGTGCCACAGGATGCTTTTAGTGCTTGTTCAGTTTGTCAGTTTATGTTTCCTTTGTTTGATGTTGCCAGTTTAGCAGCGCTATCAGAAACTGTGCGAATACTATTAAAACACAATGAAGAATTATACCCAGAAGACTACAGAGGTCAGTTGCTTGGTGTTGAAATGAAAGTTAAGCATGATTAAATATGGAGAAAAAGAATTTTGACTTATGTCTAACTTACTGCAAGAATGGGAGGCTCCAGATTGAGGTCAATAGGGTTCATGACGATGAACACTTGCTGGTTCTTGTGTGTCAGGCCATTTGGTTCTCGCAGTGCAGCCTTGCAGTAGTATTGAACCCAGCCATGTTTCCCCAGGAATGTTGATGGTAAACCCAGTGGTAAGCCAAGCTTGAACGGGAAGCTGTGGATTCCAGGGGACAGCAGAACGGCACCCTGACCTGCATCAGACAAACATTGAAGGCGGTGTGTTCCGTGATTAGATGAAATATTATTCCCTGTTGTCATAGAACTCAAGGTGCTTGAACTTCAGGCAGTTGTCCATGCAGGTGATGAGTTGCAATCTGTCGCTCCAGAGACTGTCTCTGTCTCCATCGTCAGGGTTGGATTGTAATGCCATACTTACATAGGTTACTGCGTAAGGAGACTTAACTGCAACTCGAATGCTTTTCAAGCCGTCTGATAGAATTGGTGTGTGGTAGTACCCAGTGGCTGCTTTCTGCTGGTGGTGATGAACATTTTTGTGGTACAACGGGGAAAATTGCTAAGTAACTACCAACCCCTTCCTAGCAGAATTTTGTCTGTCAGACATGCTTCATCAGCTACAAGTCCTTGATGCACCAAATTCTGTCTTCAAGTTGTTGCTGGCTTCTGGGCCGCCCTTTTGCAAGATCTGTGAGCAGCCATTTAGAGGATTAACAATGTGTAACGTGACTCACCTGGCTCCCCGAGTAGCCTCATGCGGAAATCAATGTAGTTCTCCCGGTCATACACGCGTTCCTGTCGCTGACTTCGGAGCCGCACCACCCCTTCCCCCACCACATGGAAATGCAGACCTGTGACACATGTTTCAGCATGACTGGCGATACTCATAGTTGTGGTAGCCCTGGTCACAGTAATAGTTATTGTCATAATATGGCCATTCCTGCAGATTTAGTGGCCTCAGCAGTCGATGGAGAATTGCTGACACACGGAAACAAACAGTGAAATGTCGAGATTACAATGGAAGTAATTAACATGTTGAACTCAGTATTGAGGCATTTATTAGGATATCCCCAATGAGTTTATTCATGCACTTCCTCAGTCACTCTTTGCATATCTCGCCATCCCTTCAAGATTTGTGTAAATTTGTAAGATGTTTGGCTGTTTTCATTGAATATTCCATCCAGCCCCTAGTTTGGAGGACAGTTTCTTGTTGGTTTTATGTTGCATGCGAGAGGTTATGTTGGAAAAGCCCCGAGGGAAATGCCTCAGTTTGGAGGTCTTAAACAAACGGAATGTAAGGTTTCGGACTGGATTCACTGCAGGGCTCCATTAAAGGCAGGGGAGTTTGTGGTGAGCCGAGGGACTGTCAGGAAAGGAGCAGCACCATGGCGTGATGCGAGGTTGGCAGCCCTGGTTCGCGGTTCACCTCGGCGGAACCACACCGCTCCGTGTTTTTGTCCGGTTCAACGTTCTCCGTGCTCAGCCGGTACTTTCTTTTCGCCCAGACTTTCCTGTGTCAAATCACCGAGCCACGAAGGAGTATAGCGGCGTGGAGACAACTCCACCCATTCCTAATGAGGGTGCAGGTGGCAGCCGCACGCTTCCACCGTTCGTTTGCAAAGACTTCGGTAGTAATTCGTATATTTTGGGACACGTGCATACACACTACATTCTTCCGCATTTATTTAAAATAGCGTAGTTAGTTGATACACCGTAGTTAAACTCTAAAGGACCGATGTAACACTGAGGTTTGACGACTGACATTTTGAAGTTACACCACACGAAACGGGGTTACGTTATTACGACACGCCGACGGGTGAAAGTCTTGTTTCTGTTCGTTTGTGTGGTGTTGTACCAATCGTTGGTCACGTGGTCAGTCAAACGAATTTCATTGGTTGTAATGCTTTTCGTTTCATGTGCCAAGTGATTGCTGCGCGCGACCGAACGTAACATTTCGATTGTGAATGTTTAAAATAATGAAGAGTCATGTCAAGGTCGGTTATCTTTTAAGCGTCTTTTCGGTAGCTGGAGGCTCGTTGTTGATTTGCTACAGATGCAAATCTAACAGCCTACTTCACGGGGCACACCGTGCTCAGCCAAACGCGAGATATTTGTAGCTTTTCAAGAATGGAAATTGTTTAAATATAACAGTCGTTTTCTGAACACACTCCTCGCCTCGTTCGGTAGCGTAAACGGGCAGACAGAATCATCTTGATACGATGGGGTGTTGGCAGGCCTGAAGTGACGTCAGGGAAGATTAAGAACCGTGACCTGTCGGTAACGGGACGAGGCAGGAACCCCGGACTTTTCGATAGCCTTGGGGCGAGCGGCGAGGTTTTGTGTCAAGGATCCGCGTCGGAGGCTCGCGTGTTGCTGCGGTCCGTTGAGTAGAACCGCGTGCCCATTCGCTCCTTTGCGTTGTCATGGCTACTCCGACCCCGACGTTTCAGGTTTAAGTAACTGTTGTTCAGCTGACAGTCGCTCATCTGGTCGAGAAGTTGCCCTCTTTTGTAGAACCGCGAAATTCACGACTCGCGCGTAACCGGTACGTACTTTCAGAACCTATTTTAATATTATCCTCCTACCACTCGTCTAGGTATTCCTTCCCTTCATGATCGTCGACGAGAATTCTGAGGAAATTCTTCATTTGCCTTCGTGCTACATGTCTCGCCCATGCTGTCTGTAGACGCTCGCCGCGTAATTTTCTCTTGTTGTTTGTGACGTCATTTCTGCAATGGCGCGAACAGACGCTGCCCCTCCCCCCCCCTCTGCCCCCTCCCCAACGCGATCCTGACTTGCTTCTTCCGAGCTCCTAAAAAGGATCGACTCTCGCAGAAAGGCGTGGAGCGCTTCATTCCAAGACATCAGAATTAAGTGTTTCGGTGCAATATGAGGTTCTCAGGGCGGCAAGAACGAAGATGACCCGCGTTTCAGAGGCGCGTCCATTATCATGAGGAGGCAAATACCTCTGAAACGTCGGCAAACTTATACTAGAATACAGAATTCAGCCTTCTTCGAAGTCTTAACACGCCGGGAGGTCCCGCAATGAGAACAGTACTTCCTTCCCGATCCTTTCCAGTTCATCTGTCACAATCACGCTCCCATCATGCATGGCCTGCTCTGCTTACACCTCGTGGTGAAGGTGCCGAGGCCAGGTCA